TCTTGGGGTTGTGAGTTTGAGCCCCACATTGGGTGTGGAAGCCTACTTAAAATAAAAGCAAAACATGGGTCACCTGGGTGGCTCAATCGGTTAAGTGTCCAGCTTTGGCTCAGGTCACAATCTCACGGATTGTGAGTTTGAGCCCCGTGTTGGGCTCTGTGCTGACAGCTCAGGGCCTGGACCCTACTTTGGATTCAGCGTCTCCCTTTCTCTCTGCCCCTCCCCCGCTCACACTTTGTCTCTCTCTGTCTCTGTCTCTCTCTCTCAAAAATAAACACTAAAAAATTTTTTTAATAAAAACAAAACTTGTGGCTTTTTAAAAAAACTAGGTGGTTTATTTTCTCATTGCTGCATTTTGAGAGTTCTTCTTATATTCTAGATGTATGTCCTTTATTGGATATGTGATTTAAAAATATTTTCTCCCATTTAGTGGCTTGTCTTTTATTTTAGCTGTGTTTTTTCAAAGAACGGAAAGTCTTGGGGCGCCTGGGTGGCTTAGTCGGTTAAGCGTCCGACTTTCGCTTAGGTCATGATCTCGCGGTTTGTGGGTTCGAGCCCCGTGTCGGGCTCTGTGCTGACTGCCAGTTCAGAGCCTGGAGCCTGTTTCAGTCTGTGACTCTGTCTCTCTCTCTCCTAGAAATAAATAAAACATGAAAAAAAAAAAGAGCAGAAAGTCTTTTTTTTGTTTTTAATGTTTCTTATTTATGTATTTTTGAGAGAGAGAGAGAGCAGGGGAGGGGCAGAGAGAGGGAGAGAGGATTCCAAGCAGGCTCTGTGATCCCAGCTGTAGAGCCAGATGCATGACTCGAACCTTTGAACGGAAGTCATGACTTAAGCCAAAATCAAGAGTTGGATGCTCAACCCACTAAGCCACCCAGGTGCCTCTATTTTTTGTTTATGTTTTTGTTTTTTAAAGTCATCTCTACATCAAACATGGAGCTCAAACTCACAACCCCAAGATGAGAAATCGCACACTCTGCCGACCGAGCCAGCCAGGCGCCCCCCTGTTATCAATATTTTTTTTTGACTGCTGGGCTTCCTTTCTTTTGGGGGACATTTACTCCCCAAGTCCGTGTGGTTCTGTGGTCTGTCAGTCGGGGCAGCTGCCTTCCCCCCTCCAGAGGTGGACACGTGCCCCAGTTGAGGCCAGTCAGACTCTGAGATTTGGAATCCCAGTCAGGACTAGACAAGAATGGAGGTGAGCCGGGTCAGCTGTGGGGAAGCGGTGAGCAGAGGGGCCACGTTCCCCGCTCCTGTTTCATTCCAACCTGGCCGATCAGCTTCCTCTTTGGGTCTGTACTCACTCGGTGTTGCCCCGAGCCATTCCTTTTAGCCTGACTCAGCAAGTCTGGGTTCGCACTTGCCACGAGAGACCTCAGTTCTCACTCACCCCCTCAGCTGTGTGCACTTGTGCAGTGCACACCCTCCACAACTTGCTGTAGAGACCCTGCCATCAGGCCCCCACTCATCTCGTCAGCTCTCTTCTCCTCCTTGCCCCCTCCCAGTTTGCCTCTTCTCAATTTTTACTTGGATCACATCAAGGCTGATCACAGCTGTGTTTACTTCTGGGGCCATAGTTAAGTCTTCCGTGCTTTGCTCTTCTGTTGAGTCTAAAAGTTGAAACTCCATGAACATTGTTTACCTTATGTATTGTGACTTTATAAATAGCTTTCACTGCAGACCTAGTAATCACTGGGACTGCATTTCCTTTCTTAAACTATTTTTTTAAGTTTATTTACTTTGAGAGAGAGAGAGAGAGGATGGAGCAGGGGAGGGGCAGAGAGAAAGAGTCCCAAGCAGGCTCCATGCTATGAGCGGAGAGCCAGATTTGGGGCTCGGTCCCATGAACCACGAGACCATGTTCTGAGCCAAAATCAGGAGTCTAATCAAGCTTAACGGATGGAGCCATCCAGGTGCCCCCCTGTTAAGCTATTTTTTTTTAAATATTTTTATTTATTTCTGGGAGAGAGAGAGAGAGAGAAACAGCGTGAGCAGGGGAGGGTCAGAGACAGAGGGAGACACAGACTCTGAAACAAGCTCCAGGCTCTGCGCTGGCAGTCAGCACAGAGTCCGACGCGGGGCTCGAACCCACGAACCGCGAGATCATGACCTAAGTGAAAGTCGGACGCTCAACCGACTAAGCCACCCAGGCTCCCCTATGTTAAGCTATTTTTAATTACCTTTTGAAAACCAGTATCTGATACATTCACAGGATTATATGAGATATATGTTAGTTATAAATGGTTATAATACAATGCATACCTGTGCACAGAGCACCTACCTCAGGAATGAATAACCTATTATTAAGAACGTGTGTACACTAGTGTGATCCTCTCTGTCCCATTTTCCTGCCTTTCCTGGGAAATAACCACTATTCTATTTGTGTTTATCATTCTATGGATTTTCATTTTTGCTATTTTTTTCAAATTTCATTTATTTATTTAAGTAATCTCTACACTCAATGTGGGGCTTGAACTCACAACCCTGAGATCAAGCATGGCATGCCTCTCTGACTGAGCTAGCCAGGCATCCCTCCTTTTCTGAGAGAGAGAGAGTGCAGGTTGGGGGAGGGAAGCAGAGGGAGAGGGACACAGAGGATCCCAAGCAGGCTCCATGCTGACAGCACAGAGCCCGACACGGGGCTCCATCCCACAAACCATGAGATCATGACCTGAGCCAAAATCGGGGGTCTGACACTCAACTGACTGAGCCACCCAAGCACCCCTGATTTTTAAAACTCACCATCACTCATAGTAGTATACATACTTAAACAATGCTTTGTTGAGCTGGGCTTGTCTAGGAACCTTCTAGAACTGGTATCCTGTTTATAGCATATTCTTCTGGAAGTTACCTCTTGCAGGAAACATTTCCAAGAGTCTTCCATGTTGTTGTGTGTGGCGATTAGAATCACTTGTTAGGACGAGAAACTCTTAGAAACTCCAGGAGAGCTAAACGGGGTCCAAGGAAGGAAACTGAACCCTGGAAGTCACTAGTTCTGCTCAGCCTCCGGGAGCCGGCGCCCCTGACCATGGCCGGGAGTTGTGAAGACGTGCTTGTTCCTGGAAGGGCCGGAGCATGTGTGGGCTTGGGACGGACGGGCCTCCGCTCTGGGGGCTGAAGGGAGAAGATGGACAACGTGAGGTGTGAGGGCCACCATTCTCCCCGTGTGGCCGGAGGACAGGAGGAGATTGGTGTGGCGAGGAGGGGGTTGGTGTGGTGAGGAGGAAGAGCAAGATGCCCAGGGAGGAGTAGGGACAGAATCAGCGTTTGTGGGGGCGCCTGGGTGGCTTAGTCGGTTAAGCGTCCGACTTTCGCTTAGGTCATGATCTCGCGGTCCGTGGGTTCGAGCCCCGCGTCGGGCTCTGTGCTGACTGCCAGCTCAGAGCCTGGAGCCTGTTTCAGGCTGTGACTCCCCCTCTCTCTGACCCTCCCCTGCTCACGCTGTCTCTCTCTCTCTCTCCTAGAAATAAATAAAACATTAAAAAAAAATTAAAAAAAAAAAAAAGAATCAGCGTTTGTGTCTCCGGGATTGACATGTTAGCAAGCTAACCCCGAGGTGATGCTATCAGGAAGTGGGGCCCTTGCGGGCTGATTAGGTGATTAGGGCCCTTTGGGAAGGCTCTGTCCTCACGAATGGGATCAGTGTCTTATGCAAGAGACAGAGGTCCCTGGCCTCACCTGAAGATACAGCAAAAAGTCCGAGAGCTGGAAGCGGGCCCTCACCGGACCACACTGGGCTGCCATGAACTTGGACTTCCAGCCACTGAAAACGTGAGGGACAAATTTCTGTTGTTTATAAACTACCCCATCCGTGGCATCTTGTTATAGCAGGTGGACAAAGACACAGAGCAAGAGCCCTGGCGGGATTTGAATTCCTGACTGCAGCTGTTCTTCTGGTCCTGCTAAGCACATGACCTTGGGATTCACCATGAACTCCCCTCTTGCTTAGGCCTCTTTGGGTTCCTTCCGTCATCTGTAGCCACTAACAGGCACGGACGCCTTCCAAAAACCTGGGTGTTCTTTCCTTCTCTGTAGCCCAGGGAGAGAACACAAAACAATGAAAATGAGAGGAGTATTATTTTTCCTGTGTTACAGATGAGTAAACTGAGGCAGAAAGAAACTATTGGATGCATGCAGGCTCGCAGGCCCTCATCCCTCCCTCTGCCTGTTGGACCTTAAAGCCTGTGTTCTTAACCACACGTATCACTACTGCCTCCACAGAGAGAATTAGCTCTGATAGGATTCAAACCCACGTCCCAAATCTGAAAGGCTTTTTCCTGTGAGAGCTCCCGGGGTCTGAGGTCTAGAAGCTACTTTGATCAGGCCGCCCCCAGGTGATTCAGATTTATTTTCTCGTAGCTTAGAAAAATCTCAGACAGTGGGGCGCCTGGCTGGCTCAGTGGGTGGGGCGTGAGGCTCTTGATCTTGGTCTTGTGGGTTCGAGCCCCCCACGTGGGATGTAGAGATTATTTAAACAAAAAATAAAATGGAACCTTAAAAATTAAAGGAAAATCTCAGATCGTGCGACACTCCCTTATCTTCTCCGTATCCTTTGCCCTCCCCTTCTGGTGCTGAGGGAAATAAAGAAGGGAAGGAGATACAGGGTGGAGGCTGGAGGAGGTGAAGTAGTGAGAAGGTCGTCACACCTTCCAAAGCACAATGACAAAGCATTTGGGGGTGGGGTCAGGGCCGGGGACGTGGGAAGAGAAGAGGAGGCCCTCAGAAACCTTAGCTCTTAGGAGTGGTGCCTGACCTTGGGCCCCTCCCCCACTTGACTGTCCCGCTCCCCCCCCCAGTATTGGAATATTCCATGGCAGTTAGGGGCCCTGTCCTGCCGAATAGGTGGTTTCTTTCCCAGCCCCCCAGGCCCTTGGGTGGCAAGTACTCTGCCTGATACAAATATTTAAAAGATGAGGGACCACTGAGCCGAGCAAGGGAAGGTGGCGATGGGGTGGCGGATAGAAGGGGAGGCGGGGAATGCTCAAGGCGGGGGCAGGGGACTTCGGGGCTGAGTTTCCTGGGTCAGGAGGAGAAAACGATGAGCATCAAAAGCCTGGAAGTGAAAGGGGGGGCCGGGAAGCAGGACGGAGGGGAGGAGGGTCTGGAACAAGAAGACGGCCCACTGTCTGCCCCCAGGAGTGAGAGGCAGGTGATCTGGGAGCACTCCTCAGAGCCCCGGAGAATCTCCGTGCTGCCCCTGTGGTGGAGGATCACGCACAGCTCCCGCTGGATAGCGCAGGTGCTGGCCTCCGAGCTCAGCCTGCTGGCCTTCATCCTGCTGCTGGTCATGGTCTTCTCCGAGAAGTGGCTGTGCCTGTCCCGGAGCCGCTTCTACCAGCGCTGGCCCCCCAGCGTCAGCACGAGAATCTACACGTCGGCTCATGTCATGTCCCTGGGGCTCCTGCGGATCTGCAGATCCAAGAACTGTTCCAGCTCAGAAAACGGAAGAGGTGAGACCCTTGGCGGCCTCGTCCCCACCCCAGGGCTGCAGCCGGCCGTGGTCACTCCGCCTGCACCCTGCGGCCTGGTCCTGTCCTTCTGGTCTCCCCCGGGGCTTTCTCCCTGCAAGATGGCTTCGCTGATAGAGACCACCAAGGATGAGTTCTCATTCCCTCATCCATCCCGGCCAGAGCGCCATGCCCGCCCCGACACCCCGATGGAAGGTACTAGTGCTCGGGATAAACTCAGAGCCCAGTCTGCAGCTGTAACAATGATACAAGCCGCTCAGTGAATGTCAATCACTCAGTCACACAACGCGGTTATATTGGGAGAAGAGCCTCAGCGAGGTGCGGATTTCCTTCCTCCAGGCTTGCAAACCCAGAGCTGTGGCGGGAGTCCCCAGAATGTTCTCTCCCAGGCCCTGGTCCCAGCCCCCTTTCTCCCCTCCTCCCTCAGGCGCTGCTTTTCTGGGCCAGCTGTGGGTTTCTGTGCCTGATTTTCCTGTCCCTTCCTTCCCAGCATCCTTCACTGCCGTTTCTTGTTCATCTGACCTCACCTCCAGGCGCTGGGGCTCCTTTCTCAGCTCTTGTGCAAAACCTGAGCTTTTTTTTTTTTTCTTTATGTTTATTTATTTATTTTTGAGAGAGTGTGAACAAATGGAGAAGGCGCAGAGAGAGAGGGAGACAGCAGGAAGCAGGCTCCAGGCTCTGAGCTGTCAGCACAGAGCCCGACGCAGGGCTCGAACCCACGAACTGTGAGATCATGACCTGACCTGAAATCAAGAGTCCACTGCTTAACTGACTGAGCCACCCAGGCGCCCTATTTATTATATTTTAAAGATTTTGTTTTTAAGTAATCTCTATGTCCATTGTGGGGTCTGAACTCACAACCCCAAGATCAAGAGTCACGCACTCCATAGACTGGGCCAGCTGGGCACCCCTTTCTAGGCTTAAAAAAAAAAAAAATTGAACAAATTTTGAGTGGTTTTTTACATAGCTGTGCTCAGTCTTCATAAATAATATCATCTACATTATTTTAATTTATAGTGTTTTAAAATTTGTCTTTATGAGATACAGTAAACTGTTCCATGTTATAAGTTAACAGATGGGGCGCTTGGGTGGCTCAGTCCGTTAAGCGTCCAACTTTGGGTCTGGTCATGATCTCAAGGTTCGTGGGTTCAGGCCCAGGGTTAGGCTCTGTGCTGACAGCTTGGAGCCTGTTGTGGATTCTCTGTCTCCCACTCATGCTTTCTCCCTCACAAATAAACAGTAAAAAAAATCTATAAATTAGGGGCGCCTGGGTGGCTCAGTCAGTTGAGCATCTGATTTTGGCTCAGGTCATGATCTCACAGTTTATGGGTTTGAGCCCTGCATTAGGCTTTGTGCTGACAGCTCAGAGCCTGGAGCCTGCTTCAGATTCTGGGTCTCTGTCTCTCTCTGCCCCTCTCCTGCTTGCGCTCTGTCTCTCTCAAAAATAAACAAACATTAAAAAATATATATATGTAAATTAACAGATATATATCAACTAAATGGACTGTCACCTTTTACTTGGCTTTTACTCTTCTGTTCTTGGCAAAGTTTAGTTCCGATGTCATATTTGTGAAAAAAAGAGCGACAAATTTATTTTATAATCATAAAGGTTTTTTTTCCCCTGTGTTCAGTATTAATTCTTTGGTATAGATTTCCCAAAGTGGTTTGGCTAGATGAAAGAATGAAATATTTTAAGGTTTTTTGGTTTTATTTATCTATTTGTTTATTTTGAGAGCGAGCGAGCTGGTGGGGAAGGGGCGGAGAGAGGGGGAGACAGGGAATCCCAAGCACATTCTGAGCAGTCAGCGTGGAGCCCTCTGTGGGGCTCGAACTCGTGAACTGTGAGATCATGACCTGAGCTGAAGTTGGACACCTATCCGACTGAGCCATCCAGGGCCTCAATGTTTATTTATTTTTGAGAGAGAGAGAAAGTACGTGTGCAAACAGGGAGGAGCAGAGAGAGCCCGAGAGAGAATCCCAAGCAGGCTTCATGTTGTCAGCACAGAGCCCAATGCGGGGTTCAATCTCATAAACTGTGAAATCATGACTGAGCTGAAATCAAGAGTCCGATGCTCAACTTACTGAGCCACCCACGCCATCCTCCCCAACCCATTTTTTATTGAGTTTTCATTTTCGTATGGTTGGGATTATATCAGGAATCCTTGCCGGGGCCCCTGGGTGGCTCAGGTGGTTAAGCAGCCGACTTCAGCTCAGGTCCTGATCTCCCAGTTCATGGGTTCACGCCCCGTGTGGGGCTCTGTACCGACAGCTCAGAGCCTGGATCCTGCATTGGATTCTCTGTCTCCCTCTCTTTCTGTCCGTCCTCTGCTCATGCTCTGTCTCTCTCTCTCAAAAATAAATTAATGTTGGGGCGCCTGGGTGGCTTAGTCGGTTAGGTGTCCGACTATCGCTTAGGTCATGATCTCGCGCTTCATGGGTTCGAGCCCCGCGTCGGGCTCTGTGCTGACTGCCAGCACAGAGCCTGGAGCCTGTTTCAGAGTCTGCGTCTCCCTCTCTCTCTGACCCTCCCCTGCTCACGCTGTCTCTCTCTCTCTCTCTCTCTCTCTCTCTCCTAGAAATAAAAATAAATAAAATAAAATAATTAATTAACGTAAAAAAAAAGAACCCTTGCCTATTTAGTAAGTGAAAGTCACATTTCATGGTTACCTCAAACGTGCATTTCTTCAATTATTAACTTTTTCTTGTGATTCCTCATTCGATTATATTTTTTTCTCTTGTGAATCCTGAGTCCGTCCCGTTTTCTCATTTTTCTCCAGATGGTTTTAAGCTGTGGGCAAACCACCCCGTCTTTGGCATGGCCCGGATAACCTTCTGCCTGACCCTGGGGCTGGGCTTTGTCTTCACCATCTGGTTGCACCTGCCGTATGTACCCGGCCTGCAGCGACTGCCTTTCTTTAGCTGGATCGGGACCATGATGAGCTTCTGTGAAGGTACCCCTAGCTCTGCGAATGGTGCCTCGCTTCTCCCAAACCACATCTACCCGGGCATTTCTCCCCCTTCCTTTCTTCGGGGGTGGGGCAGGGGTGTGGGGGGTGGTGGCCGAATAGAACCAGCGGGCACTGAGAGCTGAGTCCCCCCACGACCTGGAGGGGCTGATTCCCCTGCCTTTCGGGGTGGGGGGGACCCTGCGCTCTGCGCTTGCGCGCACGGGAGCTGTGCTTTGGGGCTGCAGTTCAGCACAGAAGGGAGCATCCTTGTGAGATTCTTGAGTGAGAGTAAGATCTCTCCACTTCCTGTCTCCTAGTTACCTTTATTTTCTTCACCCTCCTGTTATTCCCTATTAACCTCTGGATCTTTGAGCTGAAGAAGAATGTGTCCATCCCCATCGGCTGGAGCTATTTCATAGGCTGGCTGGTGTTTGTCCTGTATGTCACCTGCGGTGAGTGGCCTGGGGGGGCCCTGGGAAGGAGGGGACTCGACTCGGGTGGCTCAGGGCGGAGGTGGAGGGCGGGAGAGGGCTGGTTCTTTGGGATTTCTGTCCCCTTTGGCCTCACCTCGCCTGCCGCTTTCCTCCCGTGCTCCAAACGCCCTGTCCGCCGTCCCTCTGTCCTTCGCCAGCGGCCCTCTGTCACTTCAACCACAAACACTTCTGGAGCGTGATTACGAGCAGTCCCAGAGGCATCGCGCTGTGCGGCAAGGATGCCTGCTCCGTGCAGAACTTTCAGAGTGAGCTGGTGGTCTCACCCGCCTGTGCCCACCAGGAGGAGGTCCCGGATCCCTAGCCAAAGAAGCCACCTCCCTAACCTGTTCCGAATTCCCCTCTCCTCACCCTTTCTGGCTCGGACTTAGGGGGGATTTGGGGATGGCCTTGCCCTTGTCCGCCAGCTGCCGCCTGCGGACAGCCTGGGGGACGCGGAATAAACGGTCTCTTGCTTATCGTGTGTGGCAGTTATGGAGACAAGACAAGAAGAAGGAGAGGAAGGGAGAGAGAACAACTTTGTGCCACAACTGTTCTGGCCCAGGAGCCTTAGGGCGCACTGTGGTCCCCAGACTCGCCTGTTTTCTCCCAGGGCACGTGTGTGCACAGGTGACATGTGCCTCAAGAGCCACGCCTCTTTGCCCGTTGTCACGCCCCCCCCTTCCAACATTTGAGAGTAAGTGGGGTGGTGTGATCAGGAGAGACCACTTGTGAGTAGTTGGTGTATAGCGTGAACAATTCAGGGGCAAACTGGCAACAGTGTAAGAGGCAAGGATGGTGTGTGCTCCCTCCACGCCACAAGGGACGTGGCTGTACTGGGTGCAGTGGGCGTGATCCCACCTTCTGTGTCCAGCTCAGGTGACCAGGCGGTCCTGTGCCCTGTGCCTGCGTACCACCAGCACTGAGTTCAACTCCAAGTCCACCCCCACCTCCACCACCCCCTCCACCCCCACCCCTGCCTCTTCGGGGCTGCTGCTGTTCTCCACCCAAGCTTCCTGTGTAACAGCAGGAATAAAACGTGACAAGAAGGGAAACATTAGACTCAGGCCCTCAGCTCAAGAGACAAATTGCATTTCTGGATTATAAACTTAGTCTAGTCCCATGAACACTTGCAGCACGCCTTGGGCAGCACCGGCAGTGAATGCTGGGATTCAGACATCCTGCACAGAAGGGCTCTCAGGAGGGCAGCTGTAACTGATCTTTGTCATGTCCTTCCAGATGGAGCCATCATGCCAGCCAGCCAGAGGAGTGCAGGGACAGTGTTTGAGCGGATTGGGCACGTTAAAACTATATGTATTATTAAGTTGAACCATAGGATGCTGCTGTTTTAGCAGCTGAATGCTGGCAATTTCATGTGGTTCAGCCTAATATATAGGACTGATTTCTATTTGATTTTTTGGCTCTTTTAAGATTCTTATTCTTACCACACTTGACCAGTGTGTGGAGTTCCTTAGTTCCAAGCAAACTTTCTGAGCAAAGAATTGAATACAGGGGCTTGAAATTTGGGCACAGCAGCACTCCACAAATCCATACTCATTGTTTCCCGTGTACTTCTTCCCCCTGGAAGGAAGGGTTTATTGAAGGATTTATTGAATTCGTCATCCTTGGGGAAGAAACAATGAACAAATGTCATGACCTCTGCTGCATTTACATAATTGGAGAAGGGGTAAACTCAAATGCCTACAGGGATTAAGCAGGTAGCATCCCTAAAGAAAGGGGGCTACGCTTCCGGCCTGTATATAATTTTCCTCTTTTGATAAAGACCTAGTATATTATCTTCTGCTGGATAACAAATTACCCCACACTTCGTGGCTTAAAATAACCATTACATTCTCTCACCTAGTTTCTGGGATCAGCTTAGCGGAATGGTTCTTGCTCATGGTCTCTCACAAGGTCATAGGCAAGATGTCAGCTGGGGCTGCAGTCATCTGAAGGCTTGACTGGGGCTGGAGTTTCTACTTCCAGTGTGGTTCACTCATATGACTGTTGACAGTTCCTTGCACAAGGACCTCTTTCATGAGCTGCTAAGTTGTTGAGAGCTAACGTCCCCACTTAGAGTGATCTAAGAGAGAGCAAGGAAGAAGGAAGAGGAGGAAGCGTCAGTGCCCTTTACGACTTAGTCTTGGAAGAAATACACTACTACATTCACCGCATCAATCAGCTGAGATTTCAGAATTCTTTTTTTTTTAATTTTTTTAATTTATTTTTATTTATTTCTAGGAGAGAGAGAGAGAGAGAGAGAGAGAGACAGCATGAGCAGGGGAGGGTCAGAGAGAGGGAGACACAGACTCTGAAATAGGCTCCAGGCTCTGAGCTGGCAGTCAGCACAGAGCCCAACACGGGGCTCGAACCCACGAACCGCGAGATCATGACCTAAGCGAAAGTTGGACGCTTAACCGACTAAGCCACCCAGGCGCCCCTAAGATTTCAGAATTCTACTGTGTTGTAAGTAAGGAACTAAGTCCCCCTCGTGGTGCCTTTAAGGATTATTCCAACAAAGCTGGGGAAATAGCACTCGGAGACATATATGAAATTGGAGAATTCGTTATATCCGCAGGTCCTATAAGAAGTCCATATTCCACAAGGAAGGAATGCCCGGACAGCAGGCTCAACCACACAGGTGGGGAGCTGAGGGAGTGAAGACCCATGGCCAAGTGCCTCTGTTGGGGTCAGGGTGGAGCACACAGCAAACGTGTGAGGGGTTTTCACTGGTGTACTTGAATGCCCGCTTGGTTATAGTCAGGGGAGGGCAGGAGGGCCTTGTGGCAAGGCCCAGCCTTGTCACGTGCGGCACACCCGCTCACAAGGTAGGCTGCTCGCAGTCTAATGGCAGTGATGTTGAGGCATCGGGCAAATAGGAAGTTTTAAGAATTTGTGATATACTTGCCATCTGTTATGGGCTGAATTGTGCCCCCCCCCGCCCCGCCGCAGACTTAATGTATTGGAGCCCTAACCCCCCCAGTACCTCAGAATGAAAACTATCTGGAGATGGGGCGCCTGGGTGGCTCAGTCAGTTGAGCATCTGACTTCGGCTCAGGTCATGATCTCACGGGTTCGTGGGTTCGAGCCCCGCATCGGGCTCTGTGCTGACAGCCAGCTCAGAGCCTGGAGCCTGTTTCAGATTCTGTGTCTCCCTCTCTCTCTGACCCTCCCCTGCTCGCTCTCTCTCTCTCTCTCTCAGAAATATTAAAAAAAAAAAAACTCTCTGGAGATAGGGTCTTACGGGGGGATTGGGTTAAAATGGGGGACGGCCCTTCATTTGATCTGACTCATGTCCTTATGAGAAAAGGAGATGAGGAACAGAAAAAGACACCAGGTAGGTACGCGCACACAGGAAAGACCGCGCGAGGAGGCGCCCCTCTGCAAGCCAAGTAAGAGAGGTCTCAAAAGGAGGCCAAGCCTATTACACTTGATCTTGGACTTCCAGCCTCTAGAAGTGTGAAGAAATAAATTTCTGTTGTTCAAAGCACCTAGTCTACGGCGCTTTGTAATGGTTGCCCTAGCGAATGAAAACTTCACCGAAATTAGTCCAGGGAAGGCTCTTTAGATCAATGCCTTAAGTACAGCTACTCAACTACAGCTCCTCTCAAAATACCTGTGAACTAGCCCCTCTCAAACTGAATGCCTGTGAATTAGAGAGACATGTGACCACCCCTCACACAGTCAGGAACAACGGCAGGGAGGTCGAGGGATGATCCTGACAGACGCTACTGTACAAAGGTGATAATGACATGTAATGAACACTGAGTAATGGGTAGAATTATTGAATCATTATGTTGCACACCTGAAACTAATGTAACACTGCAGGTTAATCATACTTCAAAAAAAATTTTTAAAAAAGAAAAGAAAAAGTGGGGCGGGGAGTAAGAATGAGAGCCACACAGGGTCCGTAGCACTTCTGAAGTCCAGCTGGGAAAACGCCAAAATTTCCTTGATTAAGACTCAGTCCTGGAGCGGCAGGATGGCTCCGTCGGTTGAGCGGCCGACTTTGGCTCAGGTCATGGTCTTATGGTTTGTGGGTTCGAGTCCCATGGGGGGCTCTGCACTGACAGCTCAGAGCCTGGAGATTCTGTGTCTCCCTCTCTCTCTCTCTGCCCCTCCCAGCTTGTGCTCTGTCTCTCTCTCAAAAATAAACATTAAAAAAAAAAAAAGACTCAGTCCTTTTTCTGCGAGTCTCCGTGGCTTTTATTTTTTTCCTTAGATATAACACATACGACGTAACTTTACCATTTTAAAGTACATAGTTCGGTGGTTTTAGTATATTCACAATGTGCAATCATCACCAGTATCCAATTCCAGAACACTTTACTGCTCTAATCAGTCCCCATTCCCTCCAGCCCCTGGAGCTAGTCTACTTCCTGTTTCTCTGCATTTGCTTCTTCTGGACATTTCATACAAATGGAATTACACAACACACAGCCTTTTGCGTCCATTTCCTTTGCTCAGCGTAGTGTTTTCAAGGTTCATTCTTGTTCAACTCCATGATGAGGGCAGGGCCCTCCCAACTGTCAAAGTCGAAGGCTTGGAGGCGGGAAGAGACCCGCGTGGGTATCAGTCCATCTGCTTGAGTTCTGGTTCAGCCTCTTAGGTTCTCGTATTTTTTGCTTTCCTCTTTCTTGTCTTCCCTTCCTGACTGCCTACTCTGATTAACTTCAGGTTCCAGAATTAGGCATGGAAACAACAGCCTCGCATAGACTATGTAAACTGGCTCCCCGCTTGCAAAAAATAAATCCCTTGGTGGCTCTGCTGCTTTGGATGAACCTTGACTGATGTGCCAGGAACACCATCTCGGGCTGCTATTCAGTCTATCCTCTGAGTTTTAAAATTTCAGCCATTTTTTTTTTTTTTTCAGTTCTAAACTTCCCATTTAGTCATTCTGTATATCGTCTATTTCTTTGTGGAGACTTTCTATGGTTTCATTTGTTCTAGGTGTGTTGGTAACTGCTTGTCAAAGCATTCAAAAAGATTTTTTTAATGTTTTTTATTATTTCTGAGATAGAGAGACAGCACGAGCAGGGGAGGGTCAGAGAGAGAGGGAGACACAAAATCGGAAGCAGGCTCCAGGCAGCTGTCAGCACAAAGCCCGACAGAGAGCTCGAACCCACCACTGTGAGATCGTAACCTGAGCCGCAGCGGGACGGGACGCTTAACCAACTGAGCCACCCTGGCGCCCCTTGTCGAAGCACTTTTATGCTGTTCCTTAAACTCCTTGTTGGAAAATTCCACTGTCTGTCACCTCAGTGTTGGCATCTGCTAGGTATCTTTTCTCATTCAAGTTGAGCTTTGCTGGGTTCTTGGTGCGATGCGTGATTTTGTATTGCGCCGTGGACGTTTCCATATGACATTGTGAGACTCTGGATGTTTCTGGAACCTCCCGCTTCAGCAGGCCTGCTCTGACACTGTGCCGTGGAGGAAGGGATGTTTCCTGCTACGGCCAGGTGGGGGATGGCTCCCCATC